GGGCGCCGCTACAGCGCCCCGCCCACGCCGCGCGGCACGCCGGGAGAGGAAGTTCTCGGCCTGGAGCCGAGAGCGGCCCGCCTGCAGGTGCGGACTACAAGTCCCGAGAGGCATTGCGCGCCGCAGCAGGAGGCGGGCTGTGGTTGCAGCGGGCTACGGGGCCAGTGTCACCAGACCCTTTCCTGGGAAGCGCTGGCAAGCTGGGCTGGGACAGAGACCCTGAAAGGCAGAGACGCAGAGACCCGGGTAGAGGAAGGAGAGACTGACATTCAGAGAGAGAGAGAGATTGAATCACACAGAGACCCAGAGGTAGGGATACACCCCCAGAGACACACAGAGATTCGCAGAGCCAGAAAGACTAGTAGTGGGTCAGAGAGAATCCAAGAGACTCAGAGGGAGGAGAATACAGACGCAAGTATCCAGAGATCTCACCCCCCCGGACGGAGCAAGAGAATGACAGACCGGAGAGACGGAGAGAGAGGAGACAGAGAAGCAGGCCTTCAGAGAGACAGTCCTCCCGAACAGAGCCTGAGAGAGACCGAGACAGAGATGGGAGAGATTCACAGAGACAAGGAGAGAGAGACAGAGATGGGGAGAGAGATACAGAGACAAGGAGAGAGAGACAGATGGGAGAGATACACAGAGACAAGGAGAGAGAGAGACAGAGATGGGAGAGATATCACAGAGACAAGGAGAGAGACAGAGATGGAGAGATACACAGAGACAAGGAGAGAGAGGTAGATGGGGAGAGAGATACAGAGACAAGGAGAGAGACAGAGATGGGGAGAGATACACAGAGACAAGGAGAGACAGAGATGGGGAGAGAGATACAGAGACAAGGAGAGAGACAGAGATGGGGAGACATACACAGAGACAAGGAGAGAGAGAGACAGAGATGGGGAGAGATACAGAGAGATAAGGAGAGAGAGACAGATCGGGGAGAGATATACATAAATATACACAGAGAGACAAAGAGAGAAAGAGATGGGGAGAGAGACAGAGAGACAAGGGGACAGACAGAGAGACAAGGGGAGAGAGACAGAGGGGAAGAGATAGCATGGGGAGTTACACACAGAGACACGGAGAGAGGGACCCTCCAGAGCCGCAGCCTGGGAGACACAGAGAGAGAGCAGAGATTCAGAGGCAAAGACAGGGAGACGGGGACACAGGCTTCACGAGACAGACATCCAGGCGGAGACCGAGGGAGACAGATTCACAGCAAGACAGCGAGTGGGAGACGCAGAGACACCCAGACCCCGAAAAGGGTAGTGACCCAGGGACCCAGAGAGGGTCACAGGATGACTTAGAGGCGTGAATTCCCCGAGACAGGGAGACGGAAACAGAGCCACCGCCAGAGAGCGCGCCAGAGGACAGAGATCTGGAGAGAGAGGGTCACGCAGACCCCGAGGGAGACAGGGAGACAGGGTCACGCAGACCC